ATTTTAATTTCAAATTTAGACAAAATTTCATATTTAAACCAAGAATTACGATTTTAGTTATTTTGTTGTGATTGAATAATATTATTCGTGGGTACTTGAAACTTCTAAAGTGTACTATTATATTATATCTATGATAGTATCACGGTTTTTGTTGATGTATAACGCGTTATAAGTATCTAATGGATATTGTGATATGATTAATTTGGAATTTATTATAGGTACCTATTATAGGTCAATTTTTTGTTTAATACCATAGATATGTATATAATATGTCTTATACATAGACTGACATACCGTCACCGCTCAGAATCGTTTTTCTTATACAATGATATTATATCATTGAATTCAAATTTAATACCATCCATTATACAGTGACCCACTTGTAACCTACTGTACAGCAGAGCGACACCCACTTGCCCACCTTTTTTTTGTTGTAACTAACAAACTAATGACCGTAGATACTTAAAATTGTCATCGGATGGTAATAATAATACCATATTCTAAACACTATTCAATTTTCACCAAAATTTTGAGTTTCTTTTTAGCTATGACAAAATGCATCAAAATCTCGAAAATTGCAAATTCATTTTTAGAAAAAAAAAATGTATAAAATACTTGTTTCATATAGCTAAGGATTGAAAGTTTAAAACAAGGATTCTCATAAACACTTCATACTATAACCAAAAAATGTAAAATATATATAAACACTGTTTTTTAATAGACATTTTAAGTTCAAATTTGGACGAAATTAGATATTTATACGAAGAATAACGATTTTTGTTATTTTGTTATAATTTAAAAATATTATTTGAGGGTTATTATTATTAATTATTATATACTTAATAATATATTATTATATTTAATACTCACAATGAAATTTTCAAATGCAATTTTTTCGGTAAAAATGAATATAATTTACATTAGTACTAATGCCTAAGAACAAAATAAATTACTTTAACCACAATACTATCATTAAGTATACTTAGTAATATTAATTTAGGCTGACAGACCGTCTTCGCTCAGAATCGTTTTTCGTATACAATGATTTTATATAATTGAATTAAAGTTTAACACATTCATTACAGGGACCATTATCTAGACACCTAATTTACTATGTACACCAGAGCATTACCCACTTTTTAATAGTAATTGTTTAGAACCGTATCGTTTTGACATTTTATCGTTTTACTTTTGTAAGACACCACTGACCTTATGGCATGCCTTATTTATGCACTATATTCAAGGCCGTGTCTGAGCCCCTGGACCCCCCAAAATGTCTTCAATATATCTTATTTTTAACCAAATATCAAAACACAAATTCAATAAAATTACAATATACATGCTGTGGACCCCCCCCCCCCCCGAAAACATTTTATGGATACGGCCATGACCATATTCATATATTTTAACGTTTATAATATTTTGTGATAACGCTAGTCTCTTCGTCTATTTTCAGGTATAGTGACGATCCTCAGTTTCGGTTCGACTTACGCCAAACAATTGGGATATTCGAAAATCACTGTAGGATACATAATGATGAGCCTTTTCGTCATATCAATGTTAGCGAAACCGGTGGTCGGCGCCATCGTCGATAAGTTCCCCGTAAAGAAATACATGTTTTTGGTGTTCATATTTACGACCGGTATCTCTGCGCTCTCTCTGATGTTTGTGTCCAGACTGTCTTTAGAGACGTCCGTAGAGCTGGATTGTGACGTCAACATAACGACCGTTAAAATATATTTCGACCACACCAATAAACTTTCGGACTGCGATCAAAAAATACTAATGGACGGAAACAACGCAGATAGGTTGGTGAATTGCAAGGTATTTAATTAAAAAGGATATTAAAAGAAAAAAATGTTTAGTTTCGTCCTGTAGGATCTGTAAGGGATAATATTTGTTTGATTTTTCTATGTACTGATTGCACTTAGAAACTCAGATGGTAATCAAAATCCTATATACCGAGTGATTCTTTGAAATTCATTGAACAACATTCGTTATTTCAAAAAGTATAAATAATTTTGAAATAGTCGTTATTAAAACAAAATTTTTAAAATATAACATTGTATAATATATTTTGAAACATTTTTTATCTTTAACATGTTTAGGTTTTTTACTTTTTTGAAACTTTTATTTCATCCAAAGAAGAATATTTTCTCAATGATTTCGATGGATTAAAATCGAATTTAGAATCAGTAGCTTATGGGTTATAAACTCTAAGTTCTTATAATTCATAAACATGGCTTAAAGGGGGAAAAAAATACCAAGGCGGAGGGGGGGCTAATTTCTTCATATATAGTTGCAAGCGTTTCATATACAGTCGAGCGTCGATAACTCGAATGTTAAGGGAGATAAATATTAATTTGACTTATGTATTTTTCGAGTTCATATCATACACCGTGTATAGGAATTTTCTAGGGACAAAAAAAAAATTCGAGTTGTCGAGACTCGACTGTATAATTGTATGTATAATGTCTAATGTATATTATGTATTTAATATCTAATGTATAAACAATGATTGTGTAAGCAGTCTTGTAAAGTATTTGAGTAAATATATTTAAATAGGTACTTTAATAGTTTTTGGAATACTTTTAAAATACTTTTTGAATAAAGTACTGTATTGAGCGTATTTGTATTTTAAATTCAAATACTTTTATGTAAATACTTTAAAAATTCAAAACAATTGTTCGTTAGTCGTCACGTGTCAGACGTTTTTTGATAATAATTAAATTATTTTATTTATAATATTTGTTCACTCATAAATGTTTAGAGCCCCTATTTCTTATCTAGTAAAATTATTAGATAAATTTCTGATTTTATTGACAACTTTTTATAATTACCTAATAGTAAAGTATTTAATAAAACAAGTTTAATTTATTTTCAGTTTACAGTATACAGTTTAGAAGGAGGTACAAAGAGTTCTGATAATACCTAGTTGAATATAACATAACACTATTTAAAATAAGTATTTACAAAATTAATCTTGCAAAACCGACTTTTAACGAAAAAAGTATTTCAAAAGTATTTAGCAAATATTTTTTTTTGTTTTTCAATACTTTTTCTGCGCCCCAAACAGTAACCACTACTCATAAACAACTCGTCCAAAAATCGATTTGTATGTATCGAAATAGGTACTCACAAAAAATATTCTACTTTCGAAGATAAAATCAAAACTATATGTTGTAATTCAAAAATGTAGAATTCTTAAAAAAATGTATGGATAAAAAATATTTAAAAATATAATTTTTTAGTTAGTAGGTTGTTTTTTAAGAACTTGATATCATGTAAAAAAAATATTTTCAAAAACATTAATACGTCTTTTTGAATACCTAATGTGTGTTCTGGGTTAAAAGAATCACCTGGTTTATTAGGTACCTATATTTAAAATAATATATAGTAGGTACATAAATAAATTATGCAATTTCAATTTCTTAAATGTTTAGTTTTTTTTTTTTTTAAATAATCTTAATTTTTGGTTGTAAATATACAAATACTATTAATCGAATTATTTTTCCAGTTGTACTGTAATAAGTAATAACAATGAAATATTGTTTTCTGAAATGTTCTCAACATCGAAAAATGGACTAAACACTAGTGATGTCGCAAGTTTGGAAAGTAAAACAACCGATTTGCCAATATTAATACATTTGCACAACTCCAACAATGAACGGGTAATGAATATACGAATAAAATCATCAGAAATGTTGTTATTTATTTAATTTAAATTATATGATCATCAATAGTATGGTGCCTATAATTTTCGAGTTCAGTACGTCGATATAAATCACAGTCGAATAATGTCTCCAGTTTGTCATCGTCCGACAAAAACGCCCTGTCAACTGTCCTGTCCCAGTCCGATGATCATGGAATTGGCAGCGACTCCAAAATCTCAAATAACGGTCGTTTCCATGCCCGAATTTTGGGAATTTTTCTCATTGTTGTGTATATTTTGGATCAGCCAATCGGGTATATGGGCCATACAAGATCCGATTTGTTTCGATCTCCTATAGGTAAGTCTTTGCGTTACAGAACTTTATGTCGAATCGAACCTTTGATTGGTATAAGGAAAAAAAAAACCAAAATCATAACTTATATTCTATCAATAATTTAATTATGCTCGTTTGTATAAATTTTTTTCAATAAAAATATATATCATAATATTATATTTGTTTTATATAATAATTTATGTATCTATACTTTTTCCTGAAACACGCTTATGATTATTATAATATATATAATAAATAATAATTATTATAAAACCTATAGTAGCTATGTAAATTGGAAATAAATTGGACAAAGCTGAGCACTAACTAGTTAGTTTTAATTCATATTAGTTTTGTAACTTAACTAGTTGAACTTATTGTGCAAAATAATCTAATCTAATTCGTTAAAATAATAAGTAACAAGTATTATTTTGGTAGTTTATTATTTCATTTATTGAATGTTTCAATTTCTTATTTTGTTGTATTACAATGACATTCCAAGAAATTTAGGTTTTTGTCTACCGATTTGATAAATTTGATCAAATTATCAGTTAACAGTTAATTATTTTTTAATTCATCACCAATAATTCAAGTTGGTTACCTACCCACCTAACTAATAATTAATTTATATAATGCATTAGATATTTTGAAAAAATTGTTTTTTAAATGTATATTTTAAACGAAAAAAACTGACTTCTACTCTAACTTAATTTGGTAAATTTCAGAAACTAACCTTTATTCTAACTTGGTTACTTTTTATATTAAAGTAACATAACTTTAACTAGTTGAAAAAAGTGACTAACTTGCCCAGTTTTGTAATTGGATAAAATAAATTTATAATTAATTGTACAATTAATTTATAAATAATTTTTAAAATTTTCATAAGACACCAAATAGATTGTATATTAATATATTATATTATTCTCTGATTACATTATAATCACTCTGGTTTTTTTTTTATTTTGGTTTTTTTTCCTTGGTTTTTTTTTCGGGATCCCTTATATTATATTGTATAATATGCATTTACCGTGTTTTTCTGTCCGTCCCTTAGAAGACAAACCCAACGACTTTGGAAAGCAAAGGTGCTGGACGTCCATCGGATGGGGATCCGTTACGATGCTCAGTGGTTGGCTCGTGGACTATTTCAGCTACGACAAAGTGCAAAAAGACTACACGCCAATATCGTATTTGATATTGTCGTTTATGATTTTGAATTTATTCGTCGCTTCCAACATCCCAGTACGGTATACATTTGCTCGTTATTATTACATGTCGGCATTAACGGTAGGTAATTTATTATTGTTCGAATACGCGTATTACAGGTGGTCGAGTTCAAACTGTCACAGAACACGTTCCAAAACGTTTTTAAATTGTTCGGGAAACTTCACGTTATAAGTTTTTTTGTTTGGATCCAGCTGTCGCTGGGCGTTTATAGCTCGATGACGATGAGTTATCTCTTTTGGTAAGTCAAATCTATTATAATATCGTCACACGCTGAACACTTGTGCCGTTTGATAAACGGACGAATGTAAATTGCGCTCACGGCGAAAAGGTAGTAAAAAGATTATACTATTATAGTAAAGTGTGCCAGGCGTTTTTTTATTTGCACTATGGAAATAGTAATATTAATATGTACCCATACTGCATAGTATAGTATTTATGTGGGTAATTTAAATGATTGAACTTCGATTAAATATTCATATTATACAAATTAATAAGTACCACCCATTTCGTATTTTATAATTATAATAATAATATTATTATTTTAATTCCAATTTACAATAGTATCCTAATGACAGTATATGCCTGAGTTATACTAAAATGTATAAAAATAATACAGAAAAAATAAATATATAATAATATATACTTGTAAAAAATAAAAAATTAGATAATTTATTAAACAATAATTTGACTTAATTAAACTTAATAGCAACTTAAAGAATTAAGAGTAATATTTAAAAGGTCCAAGTTATTGAAAATATTTCCACATGACATTAATATAATAGCAGGCTAGTATGACATGTAGTTAGTTTTAATAATTGATAAATGAGAATGGTGTTTTTTTCTTGATTTATTTACATTTACTTTGAAGTTAATACGTTCTAAAATTTCTGGGCAATCTATAAACTTATGTAGTAGTTTAAAAAAAGTTTTAAATCTACTGTTTAAGGGAGAAATATAAAAAAAATACTAATTTTAATATACCCCAAATGAGGACGTCTTTCAAAATGACATTTAAAAGATAAATATCTCAAAAAATTATTTTGTATACTAGATAGATTCTGGTTTTGACAAATACTATCTGAGTGCCAAATTAAAGAGACCAAATTATATGAATCTTTCAAATTTTACAATGCGATTTCCAAAAAAATAAATTTCAACACACGGAAAAAATAAATAATATCTAGTGCTCATCAATATATGAATACTATGTCCCATCACAATAATATTAGTGACGCACAATAGTCAAAAATAATTTTATATTATAAATGTAATGATAGGTAGGTAATACAAATATTTTTAGACTCTTGTTTTATATTAAATTTTGAACATACATTTGTACTTTTAATTTTTCATCTTGACCAAACAAAAAAATCGTTTTTGGAGTTTACCGAATCTCCTCGTGGTGTGATAGATAATAATCATACTTTCAAATTGTATGGGCTGTCATTTTACTCTTATTTTATAAATTACAGAATAACATTTGTTATTGTGAACATACAATTTGCAATGTTATACGTTTGTAAGACGGTATGTATAATCACATACCTACCCTTATATTGGTGAAAATTACAAAACACTTTTTTTTATTATTATCTTTATTTTGGAGTGAATTACAGACTACCAAATGAGTATTGGGTGCGATTTACAATAATTGTCCTGCTTCGCTTGGCACAATTTATGCGTGTGACCTATATACAAGGCTGGGAAAATAATGATTTTTTTTAACTCGGTTAAGTCAAGTTAATATGCATCAATAACAAAAAGTTAAAAGTTCATTTAATTATATGTTAACTCAGTTAATTTAAAAGTTAATACACACTTTTTGTTAACTTTTTATTAAGTTAAAAAAAGTTAATTTGTTTATACAACTCTAGCATACTTTATTTTTTCCAACCCAAAACTAAATTATAGACTATAATACTTTATACTTATACTTTATACTATAGTACTTTATACTTTATAAAGTATTTCTATATAAGTTAGATTCGAATGATATAAATTTTTAACTTTAAACAACGTATACGATACATATTTTTTGACATGAAAACGAAATAGACTGAAATAGTGAAATATAATAAAATTAAAAACAAAATAAATTAACTTAACTTCTTCCTAAAATGAAAAATTAATTCGGTAATTTCACGTTGATTAAAAAATAAATTTAGTAAGTTAACAGATAAGTTAAAATAAAATTAACTTTTTAACTCGTGAATTCCATAACCTTATTAAGTATATCACACAAGTATCCAATTTTAAATGTTTGCCAAAACCAAAAGTTACTTAATACTTTATTGTTTTTAGTTCATACAATGGATTATACTTATTATGGTTTTCAAAACTGAAATATATGCAAGTACCACATGCAAGGAACTAGGTAGTGGAGCCAATGTATTGACAATTTTTCAGACGTTGACTTTCTTAGAGATAATTCTACCGACTCAGATGAAACCATACAATATTGGAACGAATTATGAAACTTAAAGGTGAGAATATTGTTAATAGGTTTTTATTTCAAATCTATTTTACAGTGCTAGTAACTAACTACATACCCATCTGTTCAAGGGACATATTGTGTAATATTATCAAATTGTGTGCGTGGACGTATATTTGTCTATGGAAAGGGCTCAGCCCGTTTACTCAAAATAAATTAATAAATTAATATGTTAGGTATATGTTATAATCTCAAAATATCCATGACTTATTTTAAGAATATAACAAGTGCTTGCCCATAAGGTTCTTTAAAAAAAAAATTGTAGCCTTTAAGTTTGATTATAACATTATGTCATATCACTGTAATATATTAAGACTAAAGGTACAAAACTTGATCTACGGTACTCGCATTATTTTCGACATATTTTTAACAAAGTTTTAATTTTTAGATAATACAATTTTGCTGAACAAGAATCCAATTTTAATAACGCAGAGGGTCAAAACATAATATTGAAATTGCAAAGAAACACATAACTAGTTTGGAAATCTGTATCTCTTCCGAATAGAAAGTGCATCTAGATCGATGCGTTAAACATGTAATGATTGAATGTTCCCAGTTGTTTTCACATACATCGGGAAAAACAAAAAGATAATTAAGGAAAAATTGATTTAGATTTATTAGTGTGAGAAAAAAAAAATCCCTAGGATCCCTAGATACATGATAAGTCTGCCAGATGTTCCTAGTAGCATTTTCTTTACATCATACAATTACTAAAACAATTTTACTCTTTTTCACCTAGTTATGCGGATAATACATTTTAATTTTTCGATTAGTTATGTTTTTAAAATTATTGACAATATAAATATTATTGCTATGCCAAAGAGTTTGTAAATGTAATACGGGCATCCTATTATAGTTTCTATAATATCTGTTCACAAATGTAAGGGTGACGCGGTACGCAGCGGCCACCAGTACAAAGTACAGGTACCGCAGCGACCCGTCTACACTTTTGTCAACCACCACCACGGACTACAGCGCGACAGCACCAACTCTCCCACCGCGCCTAAAAGGCACAAGGTGGGACGGGAAGGCAAGTCACGCAAAACGAGTACTGGCCGCCGGCGGCGTCTCTCTCGTTCGACAACCGTCCGACTTACACCACCGTGGTACCTACAACTCGACCGTCAACGTTTTCAACGTTTTTCAACACAAACCGCGACCCTCGATACCGTCGATATCGTTTTGTTGTATACTTGTATTACCACGCTTTTTGCCGGTAAATAGTGGGTGTGAACAATAAAAAAACCTATTCATCAAACCACAGACGCATTACTTTTGTTCTTCTCCACTCCTCACCATCACATTGCGACCAGCTCACCGCGGACACTACTCCAACACCGCCGTAGCCGCGTCAAAGGATACATAGCCACAATTTTTCATGAGCATTTAAAGTTCACACTTCGACAAAATTCATCAACAACCTGCAAATTATTTTGTAGTTAAAAATGTATTAAATGTTCAATTGTATATTTAGCTTATGCTTATAGTAAAAATTGATCATAGTAATATTAATTATCAAATTGAATATAAATATTTAAATTATTGGTTTACAGGTCATCAAACCCTTTCCCATTTTGCAACGAGGAAAGACAAACTTCTTTGAAAAAAGAGTATCTTCTTCTTCTTCTTTTCCTTTCTTGGTTTCGGCCTTTAAGACCATACCGCTAAATACAAATCTTGCCATCTGTCCCTATCCTCTGCAGCTTCTCTCCATCTGATTCCTGGTTCTATCATTTTTAAGTCCTTTTTAACACAGTCTTCCCACCTCAGTCTGGGTCTTCCTAGAGGTCTTTTACCTATTGGTTCATTCTCTATTACCTGTCTAACTAGGGATCCTTGTTTAAGTCAGGCATGGCCCCCCCAACTGAGTCTTCTTTTTGCGATCTCCTTAACTATGTCAGGTCTCTGAAACTGTCTTTTGAGTTCATCATTATGTAACTTTCTCCATTCATTTGTTTCACTGTCAAAGACCGATCCATAAATTTTTCTTAAAACTTTCCTCTCGAAAACCCCTAGTCTCTGTTCTTCAGCTTTCCTCAATGCCCACGTCTCAGAGCCATACAGGACAATAGGTCGTAATAATGTCATATACATTCTTATTTTTAAATTTTTAGAGAGTGTCCTCGATTTTAGTATTTTTTCTAATCCATAATATCCCTTGTTAGCTAATTGTATTCTTGACGACACATCTGTCTTAAGTTCATTATCTTGGGTGATAATCGATCCTAGATATTTGAATTGTGATACTTTCTTAAATTTATGTCCTTCTAGCTCAATATGTTGTTCTAGTCTATAATTTCTGTTACTTCGACTGACAACCAAATATTCTGTCTTATCATCATTAATAGTTAAGCCTACTATCTCCGCGGTCCTTATAAGTTTCTTTCCCAGACTTTTTATCACCACAATATTATCTCCTAAGAGAGCAATATCGTCTGCGTATGCTATGAGCCCTATTTTTACCTGACCTAGCTCAATTCCTTCCGAGATGTTCATTTCTCGAACTATTTTTTCCAGTACCAAGTTAAACATCACTGGAGATAGTGCATCGCCTTGTCGGAGACCTGTTGTCACTCCCACGGGCTTTGATATTGTGTTTGCTATCTTGACTTTTATATCTGTCTGGCTGATGGTAGCTCCAATGAGGATTACGATTTTACTTGAAAATCTGAATTCTTTGAGTATATTTACTAGGCTTTCCCTATGAATAGAATCATAAGCTTTTTTAAAGTCCACAAACAACATGTGTAC